TCTTGTAGTCTCTGATTTCTCTTCTCTGATACCTTGTGAGCATTTTTTACGTGTGGTTTCTCAGAGCCAGTTCCACAAGATTCATCTATTTTTAGACACTATCGATGAAGGAAATAAGTGCCGCAGAACACGGACGTTCTCAGAAACAATACAATTCTCTATAGACTGGGTTTCAGTTCAAATAGATGGTGTTTCGGTTACAGCTCATTTTAATTTGTAAATGTTGCCACTGAAAGACGGCAGGCAGGGAGGATAAGAATTGTGTTTCTGCAGATTAATGCAGCAAATTACTGCGATGCTAACGCTGACTAAGTGCTTGCTCACTGGATGCAAGGCACGGTGCTAAGGGCCTTGTCACCGCCATAACCCTTTGAGGGAGGCAGGGTTTTGTCTCCATTTTAAAGATTAGGAAACCGGAGCTTTAAAAATTAAGAGCCAGACAGCAAACCATGAGGACTGAGCTGTAAATGAGGTAATTGGCGGTGCGTTGCTCAGCACTGGTTTTGGAAAATAGTACTTTTTTCAAAAACATGAACTATTTAAATTGGAGGTTGGGAGTAGTGAGTTATTCTTTGGGCTGCTAGCTGAAAGGTTAGCAGTTTGAAACCACCACCCACTTTGTGGGAGAAAGGTGAGGCTTCTTGTTCCTGTAACCATTTAGGAAGCCCACAGGGTCCCTGTGAGTCAGAATCGACTCAATGACAGTGAGTTTGTTTGGTTTGGTTTTCTTTTTTAAGTGAAGCTATTGATGGCACCTAGTTCATTCAAAAGACTGTAGTATTAATTCAGAAGATGAAAGGAAAGGAATGGACTTAGTGAACTTCTAAGGAAGTAGAAAAGAGCCTTGGTGGCATAATGGGTTACTGGTCAGGTTGCTAACTTCAAGGTCAGAAGTTTGAATCCCCTAGTTCCATCGATCGTAGGACTGCTCTGAGTGGAAATGGATTTGATAGCAGTGAGTTGGGTTGGGGAGTTCATATGTAGAATCCACAGAACTGCGTGATAGGGGTGTGACCCAGTTACTAACAGCAGGGGCACTAGACTAAAAGAGAACACCTGATCAGTTGTATTTTAATGACTTCCTCTTTTAAAAAAACAGTCATTTTATTGGGGCCTCATACAACTCTTATCACAATCCATACCTCCATCAATTGTCTCAAGCACATGTGTACCTATGCCCCCATCAGCGTTTTCAAAACATGTTCTTTCTACTTTTTTTAAAAATCATTTTATTAGTGGCTCATACAACTCTTACCACAATCCATACACACATCAATTGTGTAAAGCACATTTGTACATCATTCTCAAAACATTTTCTCTCCACTTAAACCC